AATAGATTTAATGCAAATTTTTCTTACCGATTTTTTCGAATCCATTTTCCTATTGTTTAATAGGAATCCATTTTCCTGTTGTGGAATAGTCCATATATACGACAAAAACATCACAATACTAATATCTAAATATTGCCTTTTAAAAAAGTTTTTTGTTGTCGATTTTGTGTTAAATGTCCATTTTTGTGGTAACTGTAGACTAAAAACATTAAGAGCCGAAAACCTTAAACTATAAAATTATTAAAGACAAACCCTTTTTATTATTAAAAAATAAAATGTATTTCATTTTAATTTGCAATCATGTACATTAATAGGAAGTAACAATAATGTAAAATATGCAAGAACTAATACTGTTCATAGGTAATGTGGACACGATATTCTGTATAGTAGTGTAAAACTCAAACCCATAGTTTTGCCTATTCTTTTACTTCATTTGTAATAAACGAATTCCAATTTTTTTTAGAAATTTGTCAATGTTATTAATAATACCATGTCAGAGCAGGGGACGTTGGAGGAGGGGAGCCTGGAGGAGGGGAACCCTCAAAATACCGTGAAAATGACACAATTTTACTTTATTTTGAGGGGAGCCTGGAGGAGGGGATCTCGGAGGAGGGGAACTTTATCGTCTATATATATATAGTATAGATTTTTGTTTTTTTAATTAACCACCAAATTCGTGCGTCAAAATTGATCGATAACACCTTATTCTAACCATTCACCTACAGTTTTCTACGGGAAGGTAGCCCGCTCCCGGACTAGATAAATATAGCCAAAAATGTATTTTCCTACAGACTATTTTTTTTTAATTTTTCATCAATAAAATACTTGACCGTTTTATTACTAAAAATATCATTATTTTTTTTATTAAAGTGTTAAACTTAATCGGGGGGTTGGCGAGCGGAGCGAGCAGGGGGGCGGGGCCCCCCTAGTATATATATATAGACGATAAAGTCCCCCTCCTCCGAGATCCCCTCCTCCAGACTCCCCTCAAAATAACGTAAAATTGTGTCATTTTTCACGGTATTTTGAGGGTTCCCCTCCTCCAGGCTCCCCTCCTCCAACCGTTCCTGCTCTGACATGTTATTATTAATAACATTGACAAATTTCTAAAAAAAATTGGAATTCGTTTATTACAAATGAAGTAAAAGAATAAGCAAAACTATGGGATTGAGTTTTACACTACTAAAAAGAATATCGTTTCCACATTACCTATAAACAGTATTAGTTCTTGCATATTTTACATTATTGTTACTTCCTATTAATGTACATAATTGCAAATTAAAATGAAATACATTTTATTTTTTAATAATAAAAAGGGTTTGTCTTTAATAATTTTATAGTTTAAGGTTTTCGGCTCTTAATGTTTTTAGTCTACAGTTACCACAAAAATGGACATTTTACTCAAAATTAACAACAAAAAACTTTTTTAAAAGGCTATATTTATATATTAGTATTGTGATGTTTTTGTCTTATATATGGACTATTCCACAACGAGTGTTGCAGGCCCAAAAAGTGAAGTTGAAACTAACCATTTGCTCTTCAAGATCACAATGAAAAATTAAAATCCTCAGCTCCCTAGGTCCAACCCTCATTTATCTACAGGGGCTCAAAGTTGGAATTTCATGTTTTGAGGATATTCTGCTTGTTACTCTGCTTTTCTAGGGTGCATATGGAAAAATTTCTAAACCATGTTTTTTCATATAAAATTTGATGTAGAATTCAAATCTGTACCCAAATAAAACATTCATTATCTCAAAACCCCTTAAAATTGAAAAAATAGTGTAAAAAAACATGAAAGTCAAAAACAAACATGTTCGTGTACCTCAAATTGGTCAATATTATAATATGTTCATCGTTACACCAAAATACAAGTTCTGATAAAGTTTGGGGACTGAGTCACCATTGTAGACAATTTAGTAGCCAAAAAACATGGTTTTTTCCTCATTTTTCATGATTTTTGGCCCTTTGCAAGCTACTAAATGATCTGTAATGGTGACTCAGTCACCAAACTTTATCAGAAGTTGTATTTTGGTGTATCGATGAACATATTACAAATTAGGCCAATTTGAGGTATACGAGCATGTTTGTTTTTGACTTTCATGTTTTTTTACACTATTTTTTCAATTTTAAGGGGTTTTGAGATAATGAATGTTTTATTTGGGTACAGATTTGATTTCTATATCAAATTTTATATGATAAAACATGGTTTAGAAATTTTTTTATATGCACTCTAGAAAGCAGAGTAACAATCAGAATATCTTCAAAACATGAAAGTCCAACTTTGAGCCGCTGTAGATAAATGAGGGTTGGACCTAGGGAGCTCAGGATTTTCATTTTTCATTGTGATTTAAAGAGTAAATGGTTAGTTTCAACTTCACTTTTTTGGGCCTGCAACACCTGTTGTGGAATAGCCCATTTATATATTGTTTCCACACCACTCCTTCCATTCCTTTCCTTTTTAAATTATATGACACTTACAACGTAAATTATACTGATGAGTTCTGATTTTCACATTTCCATATAGCGTGTTGTTAGGATAGTATTTTTTTACTATCCTGTAATTCCCATATCAACAATTGATTAACTGCCGCAAACCGTCTTCGGTTTCACCTCGGTGTCATAACCCGCACGCACGGAAATTCAACTTTCGTGCCATGTGATGTAATCTACTATTTTTTTCAAGATGATTCCATAGACACTGCCCAGAGGGGTAGTGTAGCGAGACAACCGAACGCCGCCGTGCCAACATCGATCGCTTAGCAACGGCAGATTATTATAAAAATATAATTTGATTGTATTCGCGATCAGAGAGTCTCGAGATTCCATACAGAGAACAACTAATTAAGTTTAATTGTTAACGTCGTTCATATTAAATAGAAATAAAGTATTAATTTAATAATTATATGTGGCTTTGATATTAGAATGTCGAGCATTACCAATTTAACATAAAATCATACTTTAAATATCCTAGATGATAGGACCTGGTAAGACGATGTAAGGAGATACGATAAAATTCACGTTTTGGATTTTTTTTCAATTTTTTGACTTCAAATTGACATCAAATTTAAAAAAATGAAAATAATTGAAAAAACTCGATGTGACTACCTCCGGAATCATTTAAACTTTTAAAAAAACTCCGGTTTATTTGTTTCCGACTATCCTGTCATAACTTATCGTGTACACCGTGTTTTTTGAGGTGTAAGCTTCAAATGCTCACCACAGGCTAATTTTTTGTATTTCATCACGAAAGTTTAATGGTGTACTCTTGAAATGTTGTTCTTTACTATGTACTTCAGGCTTATTAGCTTATTTTTACCGGGTCTCTAGAAAAAGTTCTCAAAATCACGCGAAAATAATAAAAAATAAGCTATCCCCCCTCCTTAATAGTAATAATAATATTTATTCTTTTATCTCTTTGTTGTGAAGCTGTTGTGTACGCAGCACGCGTCGATCTCAGCATAGATGGTTTGCACGATGCTTCTTGCAATTTAACAATTATATATACATCAGAGGTGGTAGCGGTGGTCCAACAAACGCGCTTAGCTGTAGGCCGTATAAACCCTGGCACGAAACATCGATAAATCAAGCCTAGCCTAATATTGACTGCGTTACACGCAGTCAAGTGGACTGATAGAGCGCGAGAGGTTGCTATTTCCTATCGGTTTGTTGTTTGGATAACCCCGTCGTTACTATATTCACTGTAGCAGTACGTCGGTACGTATACGTATGTGTATATCTATACCGCATTAAACATATAGCTACATGTGTGTTGTACGTATGCGCCCACGCATATACCCATGTTTTAGATAGAGGAGAATACGATGTGCGTGTGAGTCTGCGTGTGTGTGCGCGCGTGCCGTGCAGCATAGGTGCAGCGCTTGTTAGCCCAGGCAGAAATAAGCAAAGATAAAATTTCCCCCAAAACCCAGTGAAACGAGTGATTTTGATAAGAGACCGGTGAATTTTAGATGGAAAAATAGCACTAGATCTTGGCTCAAGCTATACGTTAGAACAGTCATTTTTTGCTCCCCAATGTTTATGCAACTTGCGAAATAGTATTGAAACAAAAAGTTTTCATTGAAGACACATGCAACATTTTTTATGTCCATACCTTTTACCAACTTTTATTATTTTATAGACGCATCGAATAAAACGTGAGCTGGTGATTTTGCAAATAAGAAAAGTTTACATCACATCGGTTGAGTTGAAATGAAGTTTAAAAGTGCACAATCCGAGTTTTTCATTAAATTCTCTCGGTAGAAATTGCCGATGTACCCATTCGTTTCTTAGCCTAATTAAAGAGATTTTATAGCCTCGACTCGTTGTGACAAGAGGTCCTCATTGACGCCCGTCACATTACACAATTATAGCCTTTTACATGTTTATTTATCCATAATACATAGAAGCCTTAGCCCACCTAGCAGAGTCGTACCGGGCAATATTCATAAAGTTAATCTAAAAGAAAAAGCTCGCGCCGTTATCCCCTGGGCTCTTTCTTTGCCGCCCGATATAAAAACTCAACGCGAGCTAATAGCCCATGGAGCCTAAATTGAATTGCAAAGTGAAACCTTAACGGCTCGGCTCGAATAGCTCTTTAGTATTATACGGATACAATTTAAGGCTATGGCACTTTGCTATAAACCTCCCGCACTCTTCATCCAACTAATCTGCCTCACTAATTCCGTGAGGATGTATATATAATGTAAACATTGAAAGCAGAGCAGTGAGCGCGCGCGTAGCTTTGAGCCGAAAAGTATATATGACTAATGAAACGTTTCGATAATCCAAATCCAAATTTTTAGCCACATTTTATCCGGGGGCTGCTTCCCTATACATGTAAAAGCAAACTAATTATTTCAAAAGGTGCCTCTCTATTGCCGCGCCCTATGTGCGCCCATACGCCAACTAATATTTGTAATTAATTCCTAGAAATATACGCGCAGTTTCTACACGTAATCCGGGTTAATAACTGTTTAATTATTTTCAGAGCTTCATTAGCGATGTTGGCGTTAATTCTGATCGTCCTACTGAGTTGCCGTGGGATTTCGACCGCATCCACGCAGGACTTTTTCGGCGATAAAAAAGGTAAGCTATATTAAAATTTTCCAGAGAAAAATAATAATCTCGCGAGCAAATAGAGCTAATTGTAACGCACTAGACTGGCGAGAGTCATTATTTCGCGATAGAATAGTTGAACTCTATGTATGTGACTTGGCGAGGCTCAAGATCGAGCTCCGCTCCTCTTGCACGCGAGTATATTTATTTTTGCTAAGTAAATAGAACCGCGACTTGCCTGCTGCATGATATACGGGTAGTGAGATAGTAAATATTGTTCATGTAATACGGAGGATGACACTCTGAAGCTGTATATATATGCAAGTTTGTCAGTGGAAGCTACAAACATAGATTCGTACTCCCAGGTGCACACACTCGGCGGCGTTTTCGTACATGTATGAGTACCAAAGTGTGTCCTCGCGAAAAGTAAGATAAGAAGGCAAACACGTTTTACTTCTCCTTATTTCTCAGCCGACAAAATTAACCTCCATTAACAAAAGCATAGCACAATACGGGCCGTTTTCACAAGAAATTTTATTAAATCCGAGCGAAAGCAAAAATTAATAATAACTATCTATACTGGAGAAATATTTGAAAGCATTGATGTGATTGCATCAGCGTATGCGGAATCAGAATTAGTTTTTAGAAAAAAAGTGGAAAATCATACAAAGACTAGCTGCTCTGTAATTATAGCTCGACTTTCGGGAAAATGATTTAATAAAAGTATTCATACGATATATTCATTCAAAAAATCGTGATAACCTAGCAAGAAGAAAAAGGCAAAAATGCAGAAAAAATTATATACGTTTCTCGCAGTCACGTACAATATTATGCGATCATGGTTGGAAGTCATTTACAACGTGCTCAGCGCGAGTCGTGTCATCTGTATAAGCAACCAATTATATAGCTATAATAAGATCATCGGCGTTTCGAAAGCTGATTATGTTGCGCTGTACAGCATCGACGTATCGGCACTAGCTGTTTTTCTCCTCTCGTGCAATATTTGATTTAGTTTAGCTCTGGCCGAGCGCCATCGAAGAGACATAAATTAAAACTGGCGACGCGTCGCGCTCGACAAGATGCTAATTGCTCGAGAAAATGCTGATATAGGTGTCTCGGAGTGAGTCACGCGCATTCCCCGCGAGTGTCACGCAGTGCTTTGTTAACGCGCAGCAGAGAGAGAGAGAGAGAGAAAGAGACGCCATGCAGTCAGCCTATACATAAACCGGACGACGATGCATTGGCTTGTATATTTTTCACGTTCATTTTTTTCTGCTCGCGCGCGCGTCTATGTATCTGTACGCGTGTGTGCATCGCGCGCGATGGCGATGTAGATTATTCTCAATACAACAATGACGTCCGCGTGATTTATACAAGGTGAGTTCTGGAGAGCAATAGCTATTGCCGTGTAGCCTCCCTCCCCTGCCCCCATCTCGCGCCATTCGTTATTTATCTTTTCTTCCGATTCGCTGGCGTTTTCAAGGCATTTTGGCGCGGCAAGTATGCGCGCGCGAGTCGAACTACGTTGCACGCACAAACATTGCGATTGTTATTTAGCATTTCTATTGCTGTTCGCGGTAATGATAAATATTTGTGAGCTGGAGCGTCGAGTCCAGCAGCATCGCGAAAGAAGTCGCTCTTTCAAAAAGTTGCTCAAATGATCGAACTTCTTTCTTATCTTGTAATTAAAAATACGAAACAGAAATGCCTCGAAAACAACTCGCTTTTCAACGCTTCCGAGCTGTTTTCAGAAGTTACGATCTCGTTTGCTAAAGCCTCGCGCGCGGGCGTTTTAATGTAATTCGAGAACAAGGTTTATCCTGTACATCTCTCTGCCAACTCTCTCTCTCTCTCTCTCTCTCTCTCTCTTTGCCTCTTTTTCCGAAAATGCCAACTTGTAAATTTCCAAACAGATTTTTCCGCTTTACATGAGCGATCGAATTCGAGTGCACGAGCGTGCGTATATTGTACCTATATTTTTGCCTGGCCCGCGATTTAAGCTCGAAATTCGAACACGCCAAATACAATAGAGCTATTGTGCGCGCGTACATGTATACCTATATGCGGATATATCCACACCGAAAGAGAGAGCGAGAGAATACCATTGCGCAAAGACGTGATATTTGCGTTTTCGCGCGCAGGGAAACATGTGTCGAGAAGTGCGAGCGTGCCTGGAAAGTATAAAGCTAACTATACCCCGCGTGTGCGTCTGCAAATATATATATTCACGAGCGCGGGCGCGCGGCAGCGAATTTTATGCATTGCGTTCGCGCGGCTTCGCTAAATCTTCTCTCGCTCTCTCTTCCCCCAACTCTCTTTTTCGCTCTCTCGCGAGCTGTTGGGTGTAAGAGAGACGGCGGCCTTTTAATGACATACATGATGCGCCTCTCGACACAAACTATTTCAGAAGCGGTTAATCGATTATTTTTCATCCAAAGCTCGATCTTTTTTCTTTGAGCCGTGCAGTTGAGAGCAAATTTGTGGATATTCGATTCGGATCGAAGCTTGGCCGGAGCTACGAATAAAAAATAATCAGATATCCGTCATTTTTCCATTTATGATTTGTTTTCATTAATTTGCTGATGCGTTGTTACACGCTCGTGGAATCCGTCGAGCCTGCAGATACATGTTAATCAAATTAAAAGTGCATCGACAACGGGCAAGCGGTTTCATTTACAAGATCAATGTACAGCATTTATCGAGTGCAAAATAAAAGGAAAAATTTCATTACATTTGATTTCAATTTGATTTATCCGCGATCGCGAGCGAGCGAGAACGTGCGTGCTCGCTTGCGCGCGCACCGAGCAAAACTTTTTTTTTATTTCGTTAAAAAAATGTTTCGTGCGCCGATTTCGACGCGGTTATTTGTTCCAATTTTCCTTCAAAGGGTTCGCAAACACAGAGCGCGCGCAGTTTCCTATTTGTTTACAATTAAAGCCTCGCCGATACACTTGGATGAGAGGGGGGATCGAAAAAAAATTACAACTCCTTGCGTGCAGTCCATCATTATATTTAGCACTTGGAGTCTAGTAATTTTGCTACATTTTCCATTTCGGCTATTTTTTTCAATTACTTATATAGACTTGTATTTCGATCTGGTATTCCCCGCGCTCGCGCGCGATATTTCTTCAAACTGTTAATAACTTTTTCGTAAATAAACAAATGAAAAACTATTCAAGTTTTCGTTTGCGCCGAGCTACCCCGTTATATAGCTCGACGGGTGCTGCAGTTGCTCAATAAGTAATTTCAAGGAACGAGCTCTCCTCGGTGATCCGGCAGCAGCAGCACCGCATGCGCGCGCGCGCGTGGCGCTTTGCACGAAACTGTTTGGCTCCCGTTAAAAACAAAAATAAAGCTGCCAGCGAGCACGGGGAGCAGCGCCCGTGCGAGGCACTTGGATCGAAGGAAGTGTTTACTTATTAAACTTTCCATCAACTGCTGCTATACAACCAGCCACTTTGCCGATTCGATCCATAACGTCGTCGCTCGCTCGCTCGCAGCTCTCTCACGCGCGCGCAGGCATCATGGCACTGCACTGCACAGGATCGAGCTCGCGCGAGCGCCCGGCTCCGGAAGTAAACTTTACAGCATGGCTGCGCAGTACGTGTATATCTATACGTGCAGGGGTAGGGGAGGAGAGAGAGAAGAGGAGGCTGTATTAAAAGAAGCACATTCGACTTAGTATATACCTAGTGACACACAAAATCCCATCTGGTGTCGTATCCATAAAAACGACTCATTGCCTGGTACGGCGCTGCGCTTCTCGCTGCAGCGGTGCCGCTCGCCTTTATAGTAGCTTTGTTATGCTTTCGAGTATTGTCGAGCTTTCGCGCGGTGGTTGGCTGTTGCTGCACCGTCGTCGTTTTCCGTTTCCAAACGATTGCTCGTTTTTTCGCCCGAGCGCGATAATTTTCTCCTTCTTTTTTGTTCACGCGCGCACGCTCGCTTTTCTTTTAAAAGTGGAGGATTTTCGGGGTGAAATTTGCTTCTCTTCGCTTTCGTTTACTGCTAAGGCAATGAACTGTTCGTTACGAGGTATAATACACTCGAAAGTCTTGGGAGGGCCGCGGGTACAATTTTAACGACGACCTTTAAATTTTACATAAATGCGACATTAAAGTTCGTGTCTTTGGTAAAATTGTAAGAAATATATATATTCATCGCGATCTTCAAACTTTAATTTCGATTTCCCAGCGTTACAATCTTGCACTTGGATCGGTCGCCAACTCGCTCGCAGTAAGATATTGGTTTTCTCTTTGCCGGCTAGGTATTATATCGTACGCGCATAAATATGCTTACTCACCGCACAATAGAGATATTATATGCCCAGCCTCTATCTCTCTCTCTGTATACGCGACCGCGAAAAGTACTTTCTTCTATTTTTCGGGAACCCACGGGGGTGAGGCAGAGAGATGGGATCACGGCTCGCGCTCGCGCACGTATACAATCTGCTGCCTGTGCATAACAGGGCTACGGAGTCGCCGTTGTGCCATCCGAGCTGCTCTCCAAAATTAATAAATTTTAGGCGTGCGCTGCACGTATACGCGTGGGCGCTGCAACGAAAATATATATATACACTCCGCGAGGTTATTATATTCATAACATACATATATACAGTCAACGTATCACACACAAAGTCCTCGCGCGACTTATGGGTCCATACTTGCGTCCGCGCATGGCTCACTTTGAAATGTGTGCATTTATATATGTATACAGCCTATATATATGCGGCTTTGCTCGCGTGTCTGTATGTGTCTATGTGTGAGTGCGCGTGTGTGTATGGAGCTAGCTGCAGCGACAGAAGAGGGAAGCAATCGGATTAAAGTGGCAGGTACTTAAAAAGTCGCATGTAGCTCAAGCTTAACTTCGTCAGAGAAATATAGAGGTTTCAGCGGGCTGTATATGGTATACACACTCGCCGCGCATACGCACGCACACATATATAGATAGGAGTAAAAATAGAGAGAGAGAGAAAAAGACAGAGCTGCACTATACATGCAAGGTGGAATGCGTGAAGAAGAGAGAAATAA